TGTCACCTCCAACCGATACTGTTTGGCACCCTGCACTTGCTTTACACTGAGAAGCTCACCACCGCGTTGAGCCAAGCCTGCCCTGATGCTCTCCAGCGGCTTAGGGCGTAGCTGAAAAGACATCGGTCGTGAACCACGAAGTCTTTGGTGCAGCGCGTGAGCGCGGCCGTTGGTGTGATGTGCGACGATTTTTGAAAAATTGGCGGCGCAATTTTTTTTGCGGTGAGCCCAACAAGGTTCGGAAACGGAACCAATTCAACAAAATAGAACAGGAAGAGACCTTCATTATTCTGCAATGTTTTTCGGTTGGTTCGCCGTGGTTGTCGAGAAATCGTGGATTTTGTAAGGTGAAGTGTCCCCCGCAACGATGGTAATAGCCCCATAACTTGTTATTGAGAAGGAACCAACCGCTGTTTAGTGGCTTATTCGAACGCTGCTGGCTAGAGCTTTCCAACGCATATTTGTTTGTCGCCCAAATCGTTTGGGCTCCCTCTTTTTGTAATTACCCCGCCCCAAAATCGGGGGACAACCGGTGGAACTGTAATCGGATTCTGCCGTCTGCCCCTCTGACCCCTATCCTCCACTTCTACTAGCTAGACGACCCAACCGGGGTCACATGGGAGGGGGGGGCTGGACCCCCTCCTGTGGTTCCTACCTGTATGTATGTGGGCGACAGCGAACGAAAGCAGTTCAATGTGTAGACTACGGGTCCCGCACAAGCCTACTTGCAGGTAGTTTTTTCAACCAAAACAAATTATTCCACCTCCCGATCTATCTACTAGTATCTTGATCGCGAGAAGGGTCCAGCCGTCCCTTTCCCTCGTCAACGGTGCTAACGTCGAAGTTTGGTACTCACGAGAGCTTGTCAGCTATATTTCGTTTTCACCCGCACATTTCGTGAATTTTTCACCCCATCCATGGGAATTCGAACTCACGACCTCTGCATGCAACAGTAACTAACTGGCGGATTATTACGGGGATACCATCAGACCACCGGGGCGACGGGTGTCGTCGTGATCGACAGGAAAATAAAGGAAAATTGTTTTTCCGAGACACACGCACCGCTTCTCGACCAGTCGAACCTATACGCTAACAGTCAATATTTCAAGAGCACCAGGAGGCTGTGTCTTTGCTCCCACAGACAAGCCCGTACCGCACTGATACGAATCACTGATCACAAGCACGAGTGGTTGGTTGTCGCCCGCCTGTTTTTTGCGCGACGCCCGTGGCGATTTTTTACTGGTAGCGCCTGGAAAAAAAAAGGAAAAAAAAAGGAGAAAGTTCCAGGCCTTCTTCCCCTTCCCTCGGGGCTCTCCCTCCGGGAAACTGATTTGTAGATATCTCGACGACCACGACGTCGATTCAAAAGCGGATTTCTGCAATAGATGGGCAGAAAGCAGGAGGACAACTTTCGAGCTGTCTTCACCTTGAATAACTGTCCCTTTGTCCCCTGTCGATGCTGTATTTGTGGCAATGCGTCAGTACCTACTACGCAGCAGCAGCAGCACCGACTCATTCATCTGCCGCCATGCACCATATCAGCAAGTACACCATCCCTCGCAAAAGCAAGGAAGGCCGGCAGTAGTCAAAAGCAGCAGCAACAGCGGTAAATGTAGCAGCAAACATGTAGAGTGAGGCAATGCTGCCATGAGATCGATGAGATCCGCGCTTTCTTGTGTGGTGTAAAATGGTACGATGTCGTCGCCGCCCGTGCATAATTCCTAACGGCGTAAAAGAGAGTCTCGCTCTCGCTGTTACTCTGCGCAGTCATGCCGCACCACGCCACCATACACAACAACAGTAGGAACAATAGTAGAGTATGAGTCGTGCTGTAGTCTATAGATGTGTAATGCTACAGGTCCGCGCTTGTGATGCGTGCAATTAGATGAAGATCTCTTGCCGTCCTGCGGTACATGTCGACGAAATCCCAACGAACGGCAAAGGGAAAGCGCATCTCTTTCTATCTGCGCAGCAGTCCTTCCACACCAGCCACGTCAACAAGAACCACGACCAACACCAGGGATGTATAAATGATGAGTGATGCACAGTGCTACTGTACCAGCATGCTATGCATAGCCTCTCTTGTTGCTTTGCGTTGGGTTTAGCGTCTGGTTGGTGAGCATGAACAAGAAAACTGCTGCTGCGGGCCTTTTCGCCGCCTTTTCAAACGTGTCACACTATCGACAGCAGCCAAGTTCCCAGTCTATTTCTCAGTACCGACGGGAGGCTCCGACACTCAAATCGCCTCTCGGTGGCGTCTGCTTCCCGTTCCCCGGGGTAAAAACGCTTATTCCTTGGAAACCCAGGACCGGTGTTGGCAGTCCGCGATGCCCCCGAGATCGGAACCACGAGGCAGCATACCAGCCCCGGCCCGCACACCCACAACGAGAGCACTGACGAATCGACGTTCAACCTGCCACCCTTCCCACCCGGCCACTACCGTACCCCGAGTCCATTATCCCGGAGGAACGCGTAGGTGGGCTATG